TCTGGAAGGTGTGAAAATAGATAAGTCCCCTGGGCCGGATGGGATTTATCCTAGGATTCTCTGGGAAGCTAGAGAGGAGATTGCAGAGCCTTTGGCTTTGATCTTTATGTCGTCATTGTCTTCAGGAATAGTGCCAGAAGACTGGAGACTAGCAAATGTTGTCCCCTTGTTCAAGAAGGGGAGTAGAGACAACCCTGGTAATTATAGACCAGTGAGCCTTACTTCGGTTGTGGGTAAAGTGTTGGAAAGGATTATAAGAGATAGGATTTATAATCATCTAGAAAGGAATAATTTGATTAGGGATAGTCAACACGGTTTTGTGAAGGGTAGGTCGTGCCTCACAAACCTTATTGAGTTCTTTGAGAAGGTGACCAAACAGGTGGATGAGGGTAAAGCGGTTGATGTGGTGTATATGGATTTCAGTAAAGCGTTTGATAAGGCTCCCCATGATAGGCTATTGCAGAAAATATGGAGGCATGGGACTGAGGGTGATTTAGCAGTTTGGATCAGAAATTGGCTAGCTGTAAGAAGACAGAGAGTGGTGATTGATGGGAAATGTTCATCCCGGAGTTCAGTTACTAGTGGTGTACCTCAAGGATCTGTTTTGGGGCCACTGCTGTTTGTCATTTTTATAAATGACCTGGATGAGGGCATAGAAGGATGGGTTAGTAAATTTGCGGATGACACCAAAGTCGGTGGAGTTGTGGATAGTGCGGAAGGATGTTGCAGGTTACAGAGGGACATAGTTAAGCTGCAGAGCTGGGCTGAGAGGTGGCAAATGGAGTTTAATGCAGAAAAGTGTGAGGTGATTCACTTTGGAAGGAGTAACAGGAATACAGAGTACTGGGCTAATGGTAAGATTCTTGGTAGTGTGGATGAGCAGAGAGATCTCGGTGTCCATGTGCATAGATCACTGAAAGTTGCCACCCAGGTTGATAGGGTTGTTAAGAAGGCATAGGGTGTGTTAGGTTTTATTGGCAGAGGGATTGAGTTTCGGAGCCATGAGGTCATGTTGCAGCTGTACAAAACTCTGGTGCGGCCGCACTTGGAGTATTGCATATAGTTCTGGTCACCGCATTATAGGAAGGATGTGGAAGCATTGGAAAGGGTGCAGAGGAGATTTACCAGGATGTTGCCTGGTATGGAGGGAAGGTCTTATGAGGAAAGGCTGAGGGACTTGAGGCTGTTTTCGTTAGAGAGAAGAAGGTTAAGAGGTGACTTAATAGAGACATACAAGATGATCAGAGGATTAGATAGGGCGGACAGTGGGAGCCTTTTTCCTCGGATGGTGGTGGCTAGCACGAGGGGACGTAGCTTTAAGTTGAGGGGTGATAGATATAGGACAGATGTCAGAGATAGGTTCTTTATTCAGAGAGTAGTAAGGGCGTGGAATGCCCTGCCTGCAAAAGTAGTAGACTCGCCAACTTTAAGGGCATTTAAATGATCATTGGATAAACATATGGATGATAATGGAATAGTTTAGGTTAGATGGGCTTCAGATTGGTTTCACAGGTCGGCGCAACATCGAGGGCCGAAGGGCCTGTACTGCGCTGTAATGTTCTATGTTCTATGTTCTATGAACTTGTTCAGCCATTCAGCTTGGTCATGATGCCCTATTTATATCATAAACTCAGCCTCTGCATGGTGAAACGGAGTATGAATGCAGGCCAACAAACAACTGGTTTGCATTGCATTGTCAAAGTAGTCGAGGGTTAAGTGTTGGAGAATTCGCAGATAGCATTGTCGGTAACACCGAGATAAGGAGACAGATACCAAACCATGTCAAACAATTTCTGCAGAAGGGTCTAGACCCGAAACGTCAGCTTTCCTGCTCCTCTGATGCTGCTTGGCCTGCTGTGTTCATCCAGCTCTACACCTTGTTATCTCAGATTCTCCAGCATCTGCAGTTCCTACTATCTCTCAAACAAGAACGAGATCGAGTTCCCGAAAACTTTTAGAGACGAAAGTTTCGGCTGTGTGTTTTACTGGGAGAAGTGGAGAGCACGATTGTGCCACTGAAGGTGCAGGAACGAAGTCGCAGGATGGGAAAATCCTGGAGAGAGTTGCAGACAGGGAATAAAGTGAACCAGAATAGAGATTTTAATATGAAAATCTGTTAAAACGTAACGAGTGCGGACTGCAGCGTATTTCTGGACAAACTGGAGATGATGAGAGAGGATTAGGAAAGAAATCGGGATAGTCGAGTCCAGGATATGAACAGCTCCCAGTACAGAGTAAATTCCACCCGAGTGTATTGTTTGGCGATGGGCGCGTTCATTTTTTTTTCCAAACTGGTTTGTCAGTGACAAGATAAAGCGGACTAATGTAAATTATACGGCGTGATTCCAGGAACACGCGGATCAAAAATAACACCGATGTCAAGAGCAGGGAGTGAGTCTAACTGAATCCATCTGGAAATCCCGGCAATTTATTTCCGAGTTTAGTTTGTAGTAACAAAGTGAATCATCCACCCCACTGCCTATTCCGAGTTATATCCCAACATTTAGTCGCTCCGTCGTCAATTTAAATGTATCCCGAACACCCGCTCGGTTTGAATGAGTTGGAATTGTTCAAGCTCAGTATGAGAAATACCAAACACTGGCGGGGTCTTTTTGTCTCCTACCTTCTCCATTTAAACCGTAGATTATTTAATACACCCTCCCAGTTGCCCTTTCACTGAGTATCCCCGCACAATCTAATATGTGTCCAATTATCTTTGACATTACTTTTATCAAGCCATGCTACACCCTAAATCCTCGCGCCGCCATTGACTTTTGTCTCTCTTGCGCTTGGGAAATCTTAGTGAAAGAATTATTGTACTGAAATGTGGGTCTAAACCCGTATTGTTTGACGGCAGGTTTAAGACAGTTTAGTAACTTATTCTCAACTGGACGTTGTCCACTCGACCCCCTTCACCCCTTTGGGAAAAGAGGTATCTAGGGTGCGGAATATTTGCAGGGCCCTCCCACAGACATGTATCATCGTGCTCCCCAGGCGGCACAGTAATAGACTCCAGCATCACTCTCCGCGACGTTTCTTATGTCGAGCAGACTACTTTTCGCTTTCTCCACGTTTTCGGATGTGAATCTGTCGGCGAAATCGTCGTCGTAAAATGGTCGGGCTCCAGTCACGTAGAGAATACGGCGGAAGCCCTGGCTCGGAGTGTGCCGGTACCAGTGCACGGTCACACTCGCGAAATCCACATCCTCCAAGATGCACCGAAAACGGGCCATTTTTGTACGAGCCCTGCTGACCGACAGCGTGGGCTGACTCAGGGATTGAGCTAAACCGCCACCTGTTTTAAAAAGAAACATGGCACTTATTGATATTGTAGGAGAACGTGTTATCAATTCAAACGAGTGAAATCTAAAGTACCCACAGGAGAAATACGCGACAGACACAAACATGAGGATCTGCATGTCTCCGGCTGCTGGCTTATCTGAGAAGTCGATGAAATATATTGCGGCAGGAAATGACACCTGTAACAAAAAATAAATTGCTGACGGTGAAGGACTCGAAACGTTAACTCTGCTTTCTTCGCACAGGTGCTGTCAGATCTGCTAATGTCAGTTCTTTTTTCGTTATTTCAACTTTCCAGTACCCGCAGTTCTTTGTTTTGTTTTAATGACACTCGTCATCTCCACCATAGCCAGTGAATTCACTGAAGGTCCGACCGCTGCAGAGAACCAGCACTCACCGAAATAATTCCTCCCTCTCAATAAACTATAACATGCGCGCATTCTAAATGAAACGTACAAATGCGTTGCATTTATGCAACAGCCTCAGAATACCTCCAACGGAAATGATTATAGTATTTCTGTAATCATTTGTGTACAGCAGGATCCCACAACAAACAGGTGTTGATTGAGGAGTAATCTCCTAGTGGTGTCGTCAATGTTTAAGAGGGAAGAGGAAACCTCAGTTTAAGATCTCATCGCAAAAACTGATCCATTTCCCTCAGCACTGAGCCAGTTGCAATTAACCAAATCCTGAACGGAGTACGTTGTACCATGAGGTGTGTCATTTTAGAGTGTTGACTATAACTGAGGGTGTCCCAAAGAGCTTTCCAGCAAATCCAGTACTTTTGGTGTGTATCCATTTACGCATTTCTACAATTAATGATCACACAGCAAGCTCCCATAAACGATAGCAAATTTGGGATTCCTGCATAAAACATTTTGACCCTCTAAATAGAGAAAGTTGGAAATAATGAGGACAAGCAGCATATATTAGTGAGTGAAAGAGTTTCGGCTGAGTGACCCGTGTATTTCCACATGAATTTTATTTTCTGTCAGTTTTTCAACATCCGCAACACTTTGCTTCAAAGAAATATTGTGGGTACAGTAGTTCTGAAATCTGATTGCACAGGCCAAGGCGGAGTGGCTATTGCCTCAGTTGGGATTTTTTTTTACGATTTTACCACAGACAGGAGTTGGGAAGTTACACTTGTATGTTAGGTATTTGGAGCAAGGAGCATTTAGATACTGCGGGCTGTTGAGATGAATACCTGGATCATGGACAAGCAATGGAGGTTCTGAAACAGAAACAGAAATGACTGGAGAGACTCAGCAGATCTGGCAGCCTCTGTGGAGAGAGAAACAGAGTCAACATTTCAAGTGGAAGGACCCTTCTTCAGAACTGATGATGGTGAGGAAAAGAGATAGTAGGAACTGCAGATGCTGGAGAATCTGAGATAACAAGGTGTAGAGCTGGATGAACACAGCAGGCCAAGCAGCATCAGAGGAGCAGGAAAGCTGACGTTTTGGGCCTAGACCCTTCTTCAGAAATGGGAGAGGGGAAAGGGGTTCTGAAATAGGGAGAGAGAGGGAGGCGGATAGAAGATGGATAGAGAAGAAGATAGGTGGAGAGGAGACAGACAGGTCAAAGAGGCGGGGATGGAGCCAGTAAAGGTGAGTGTAGGTGGGGAGTTAGGGAGGGGATAAGTCAGTCCCAACTTCTCTTTCAACTCCTCCCACTTCCTACAGACAAAGGGGGTGGCCATGGGTACCCGCATGGGCCCAAGCTATGCCTGCCTCTTTGTAGGTTATGTGGAACAATCCCTCTTCCATAGCTACACTGGCCCTAAACCCCACCTCTTCCTCCATTACATTGACGACTGTATCGGTGCCGCCTCATGCTCCCACGAGGAGCTCGAACAGTTCATCCACTTCACCAATACCTTCCACCACAATCTTAAGTTCACCTGGACCATCTTTGATACCTCTCTCTCCTTCCTGGACCTCTCTGTTTCCATCTCTGGCAACGACCTGGAAACTGATATCCATTTCAAGATCACCGACTCCCACAGCTACCTAGAATACACCTCCTCCCACCTTCCTGCAAAAATGCCATCCCCAATTCCCAATTCCTTCGCCTCCACCGCATCTGATCCCAGGATGAGGCATTCCACTCCCGAACATCTCAGATGTCCTCGTTTATCAAGGACCGCAACCACCATCCCTCAGTGGTCGAGAACACCCACGACCGGGTGTCCCACATTTCCCGCAACTCATACTTCACACCGCCTCCCGGCAATAACAACCAAAACAGAATCCCCTTCATCCTCACATACCACCCCACCAACCTCCGGATCCAACGCATCATCCACCGACACTTCTGCCATCTGCAATCCGACCCCACCACCAAAGACATATTTCCCTCCCCATCCTTATCTGCTTTCCGGAGGGACCAGTCTCTCTGAGACTCCCTTGTCCGCTCCACACTCCCCTCCAGCCCCACCACACCCGGCACTTTTCCCTGCAACCGCAGGAAGTGCTACACCTGCCCCTACACCTCTCCCCTCACCACCATCCCAGGCCCCAAGAAGACTTTCCACATCAAGCAGATGTTCACCTGCACATCAGCTAATGTGGTATACTGTATCCGCTGTTCCCGTTGTGGCCTCCTCTACATCGGGGAAACCAAGAGGAGACTTGGGGACTGCTTTGCGGAACACCTATGCTCGGTTCGCACTAAACAACCGCACCTCCCAGTCGCGAACCATTTCAACTCCTCCTCCTATTCCTCAGATGACATGTCCATCCTGGGCCTCCTGCAGTGCCACAACGATGCCACCCGAAGGTTGCAGGAACAGCACCTCATATTCCGCTTGGGAACCCTGCAGCCCAATGGTATCAATGTGGACCTCATAAGCTTCAAAATCTCCCCTCCCCCGACCGCATCCCAAAACCAGCCCAGCATGTCCCCGTCTCCCTAACCTGTCCTTCTTTCCACCTATCCCCTCCTCCCACCTCAAGCCCCACCCCCATCTCCTATCTACTAGCCTCATCCTGCCCCCTTGACCTGTCCGTCCTCCCTGGACTGACCTATCCCCTCCCTAACTCCCCACCTACACTCACCTTTACTGGCTCCATCCCCACCTCTTTGACCTGTCTGTCTCCTCTCCACCTATCTTCTCCTCTATCCATCTTCTATCCACCTCCCCCTCTCTCTCTATTTATTTCAGAACCCCTTTCCCCTCCCCCATTTCTGAAGAAGGGTCTAGGCCCGAAACATCAGCTTTCCTGCTCCTCTGATGCTGCTTGACCTGCTGTGTTCATCCAGCTCTACACCTTGTTATCTTTGGTTAGGAAAAGGTTGGTATATATGTTGAAGACAGAGGGGCACTGGGAGGAATAAAAATATGTGGAGATGGAGCCCAGAGAGAGAGAACAGCAGACAGGGGAATGGACAATCATAAACTGGGGAGAAAGAAAAGCTGCTATTGGAGACCATTGGTGTGTGGAGATGTGTTGACTGTGATGACAGCATGTGATGACAAAGGCTAGTGGTGTGGGAGTTGGGGTAAAAGCATGGAAGAAGGTGTTTGGGTCCTAAAATGATTGAACTCGATATGGAGTCCTGAAGGCTGCAGGGATCTCAAGTTGAAAATGAAATGTTGTTCTTCCAGCTTGCTCTGCCTTTCACTAGAACACTGCAGCAGGCCTGATACAGAAATATTGGCCAGGGAACGTGGTGCTGTATCGAACTGCAAGCAACCAGGAGCTAGTGGTCATTATTGCAGACAGAACTTGGGTGTTCAGCAAAGCAGTTACCCAGCCTGCATTTCATCTCCCCACTGTAGAGGAGACCACACTGTAAGCAGTGAAATGGACTAGATTGAGTGAAGTGCAGGTAAATTGCTTCTTCTCCTGGAACGTGCATCTGGGGTCTTAGATAATGAGGGGGGAGAAAGTAAACAGGCACATTTTATACCTTCTGTGGTTACATGGGAAGGTGCCATGGGGGCATTGGGATGTGTTGGGACTGGAGGAGGAGTGGATCAGGGTGTCCTGAATGGAACGGACCCTGCATAATGCTGACAAAAGACAGAAGAGGAATATGTTTTTGGTAGTAGCATCACATTGGAGGTGTTAGAATTGGCAGCTAACGATCCTTTGGATGTGGAGGTTGGTAGGCTGGAAGGTGAGGACTGGGGACCACATCGGTTTGTGGGAGGGGAAAAGAAGGGGTGAGGACAAAAGCATGGGAGGTGGTTTGAACATGACTGAGAGCTCTGTCAACCATGATAGTGGGGAATCCTCTGTTGAGGAAAAAGTGGATATTTCTGAGAACCCCTATGGAAGGTGGCATGATCTGAACAGATGCGACAGAAAGGGAAGAACTGGAAGAAATGGAACAGAGTCCTTACAAGAAGCAGCATGTGAGGATGTACAGTCAAGGTATCTGTGGGAGTTGTTGGGTTTGTAGTGGATATTGGCAGCTAGCCTATTCCCAGAAATAGAAACAGAGATGTTGAGGCAGGGAAGGAAGCAGTCAGAAATGGACCAGGTGAAGATGAGAGCTGGGTAGAAATTGGAAATGAAATTGATAAGATTTTCCAATTCGGGGTGAAAGAGAGAAGCAATACTGATGATGTTATTGATGTACAGATTTTAATGATAATATGCGCCCTCATCCTCCAAGGTAGATTTGCTCAATTATCATGGGCCATCAGCTTTATTCTAAATTCAGGGTCTCATTATCTGAAGACTTCTGGCCATGGTGGACAATGGCAGTATCTTGTAAACTCACAACCTCTAGAATTCTGAAGGACAATGGCAGCTGATGCATTGAAGCACCCCACCTGCAAGTTCTCCTCCAAGCCACTCACCATCCTGCCTTGAATTATATTATTGTTTCGGCAATTCAAGAAAGCAGCTCATTATCTCCTTATCAAGAGCAGTTAGAGATGGGCAACAAAATACTGAAGCAAACAAAAAAATACTAGCCCCACCGTCATGTCCCCTAAGACCCAAAGTCCTGAGATGTCTAAACTCCTTAATATTTAGCGTCATGGAGTCATTCAGCATGGAAACAGACCCTTTGGTCCAACCAGTCCATGCTGAACATAATCCCAAACTAAACTAGTCTCTGCCTGTTTCTGGCCAATATGCTTCCAAACCTTTCCTATTCATGCACTTATTCAAATATCTTTTAAACGTTGTGATTGTACCCACATCCACCACTTCCACAGGAAGT